GGGAAGAGGGTGAGGGCTGGATTTCATCGGGTGGCTGGCTCATGGGGTGTCAGCTGCTGGGTGTGCTGGCACGGGAGGGGGGCAGTAGAGTTTCCCTGGTGTTGGCCAGAGTGGCCACCAGGGAAAGCTGGGGAGGGCTAGCCTCCCACTAGTTCGAATTAAGGGTCTACACAGCCCTTAATTCGAACTAGTAAATTCGAACTAGGCTTAATCCTTGTGGAATGAGGATTACCTAGTTCGAACTAAGCGCTCCGTTAGTTCGAATTAAATTCGAACTAACGGAGCGCTAGTGTAGCGCCTATGAAAGTTAGTTCGAACTAACTTTGTAGTGTAGACATACCCATAGGGATTTGCCGCTTCCCATGACATCCCTGCCATAATTGCAGATTCACTTGTCCACAGAGCAAATCCTTCTGGCCTTTTTGAAGTTTTATGAACTTTGGGTTTTGGGAATTTTAAAAAGAGCATGGGAGCATATTTGCACCCTTAAAAACAGCAGCAACAAGAATACCACCCGCCCACATCCAGGGGGTTAGCAAGAGTGACTAGCTGCTTTCAACAACTCTTACAAACAGTTTCTATTCAGAAATATGCAGTGAATGAAATGCACCCCTGAAAATGGGAGCATAGAAGAACCCCAGCTGCATTAGTTAGAGTAGTTTCATGGGGGGAGGGAGGGGCGGGATAGCTGAGACATAGAAGTGCACCTGTAACAAGTGAGGCTCCACTGAGCTAAGAACTGCACCAGCTCCACAGGGACCATCTTGGAAGAGTGGCTGGTGACATTCTGCCTCGCAGAGTGAGTGCACATGAGCAGCTGCTACTGCTCCAGCCCAATGGGGAGAAGGGAGAGAGATTCAATCTTCTTGGAAACCCTCCTCCCCCAGTTCTCTGTTTGTAAAATCAGTACACTCTGAGGGGCAGAAGTGAATTTTGCCTGCTGGGCATGGATCAATAATGTATTAGTAATGTCTCTATCCAAGCTATATAGTGTGCATACATAAAAACTGATGTCAACCAAATTTTCTTAGTTCGGTTTTGCTTCCACTTTGTCTAATTTGTTGTATATCAGCACCCCTAGTTCCCATTAGCCTTTATAGCAAAGCATTAAACACTTTTGCCATCTTGAAATCTTCTGTTGCATATTGGGTAAGACAGTGGTTTTCAAACATCAGGTCATGACCCGACAGAATATAAAGCATTGGTTTGCTTTGCTTAGCACCCCGGGACCCTACCTGCTCTGACACGATGTGCTCTGAAAGCAGCCAGCAAGTCCAGCTCCTAAGCAGAGGAGTGATGGGGCTCAATGCACAGCCACTGCCCCAAACACCGGTTATGCCCTCCCATTAGCTGGGAACTGGGACACCTCTGCCTAATAACCGGACCTGCTGCTGGCCACTTCTGGGGCACACTGGGGTCCACAGTTCCAGGAGAGGTAGGAAGTCTGCTTTAGCATCCCTGCTACGCCACTGACTGGGAACTGCTAGATGTAAACCGGGTAAGGTAATACCCTAATCCAGCCCAGACACCCCCCCCCAAACCCAGAGCTCTTGCACACCAAACTCCTCATCCCAACCACCCCAACCTCCTGTTCCAGACCAGAGTCCCCTTCCACACCTCAAACCCCTCATCCCTAGCTCTGCTGGTCATGGGTGTCAACAATTGTCTTCCACTGGGTCACTAGTTAAAAGGTTAGAAAAACACTGGTGTAAGTTACTAATATCAGTGGACGGTGTTTGACTTCAGGTACTAAGCTATCCATCTGCCTTCATCTCAATATTTCCCCATACACAGCTGTCCTTTGTTCCTGAGTTTTCAGCCAGTTCTCAGTCCACATGATATTATCTGAATAATTTGTATGCGGAATGAGAGATTTTCCTACTCACCATCTGTTATCAGTGCTCTGCTTGTAAGGACCTTTCCCAACATAAATTTGATCACTGCCAAGATAGAGCAAAGGATTCCACTTAAAATGGAGACACTAAACAGAAAGTCATCCTGCAAGAGAAGAGGGTTGATATTAGTATGTCTTCCACATATAGTTGTCCTGTATATTAAATGCCAGATTCTATTTTCAAATGGCTGACTTATCATCCGACCAAAAAAAACCAAAACTTTCTGAGTTATGATTTCCATTCCACCCTTTGCGCGCTTTGGGGTTCCTAGTCACTGTCACACATGGTTAGTGATAGGCCCAAGCACAAACTTTTGGCTCTTGGGCCAAACTACTCAAAGTTAGGGAACCTTTTGGTCTAGCGACGAGGAGTCCTGTGGCACCTTATAGACTAACTGAAGTGTAGGAGCATAAGCTTTCGTGGGCAAAGACCCACTTCGTCAGATGCATGCATTTGACGAAGTGGGTCTTTGCCCACGAAAGCTTATGCTCCTACACTTCAGTTAGTCTATAAGGTGCCACAGGACTCCTCGTCGCTTTTGCAGATTCAGACTAACACGGCTACCCCTCTGATACTTTTGGTCTAGGTTTGACTGGAGGTTACTTAACTCATGGTATGGTTAAACAAAGAACCAATCTGTTAATTGAGTTACAAAGTCATCCTGGCTTCCTTACATTGATTTTGAGCTAAATAATATTATTTTAACATAATTTCTGGGTGTATAGTTTTCTCTTAGTTTAAGGGGAGGTGACTAAGGCCAAACCCTGGTGCCAGTGAAGTTGGTAGGAGCTTTGCTGTCAATTCCTGCTTTCTACAGCCAAAATCCTGGTGTGTCAATCTGCCACTGGCTTTGGTTTGGCTCTTAATTTAACCTGTTACCACAGCAATACAAATAAAGGAAAAAATTCTATTCCGTATCACAAACAACTGAAATCCCTCCAGTGAGGTATGACTCCTGTAGACAATTTATAACTGTGACACAGTGTTAATAAAACTGTCTTGATTTGTGTGAGTCATCTTTGCTGACGTCTTCTCATCGCTGCAGCTTCGAGTGGTTCAATGTCAATGGGACCCTGGGATCATGATAAAAATATTCTGGCATAAACTCTTACTGACAGCAGCAGGGTTTGGCATTAACTTGATCCATCTCACCCATATTATCAGCAGCGGTAACTATAACTAGGGTAGACATAAAGAAAGGAAAAAGGGGCTTTGGAAGCAACTATGGGCACTGGGAACAAAAGAGCATAACATCTTTAAATAGAATAGAAAATAAACGTACATGATGCTATTCCCAACTACATCCAGTAAAATATTTAGACTCTTGAGCTGTGTTTAGACTGGCCACTTTTTCCGGAAAAGCAACTGCTTTTCCGGAAAAACTTGCCAGCTGTCTGCACTGGCCGCTTGAATTTCCGCAAAAGCACTGATGATCTCATGTAAGATCTCATGGTTCTTTTTCCGAAAAACCTTTGCTCAAAAGGGCCAGTGTAGACAGCAGAGATTTGTTTTCCGCAAAAAAGCCCCGATCGCAAAAATGGCGATCGGAGCTTTTTTGCGGAAAAGTGCCTCTAGATTGGCCACAGACGCTTTCCCGCAAAAAGTGCTTTTGCGGAAAAGCGTCCTGCCAATCTAGATGCGCTTTTCCGAAAATGTTTTTAACGGAAAAGTTTTCCGTTAAAAGCATTTCCGGAAAATCATGCCAGTCTAGATGTAGCCATAGAGTTTAGGGCCAGAAGGAACCATGGTGAGCCTCTAGTGTGACCTGCATATTATAGGCCACGGATGCTCACCTACCCAGACCCTAATCTAGGGGTGAATGATCATATTTGATGAGGGGCAGTCCACGATTTTGGTAAGTTTTCAAGGGTCACGCTCGTCTATGGAGGAGGTGCCGGGGCTGAGATGGAGGTTGGGTGCAGAAGGAAGCTCGGGGTAAGGGATTGGGATGCAGGGTCTTCCAGAACCATCTGCTACTTTGTCACTGTAAATAAGGTATGGGGGACTGGAGTGGCAATACTGTTTTGTTTTGTTTTTTGACAACGTCAGCACTGCCTCCCATTGATTGTCAGTGGAAATCCTGGTGGTATTTATGTGATAAAATGGGGAGGAGGGAATATGTGAGGGTGGTGTGACTATACAACCAGCAGCATGTGATCCGCTCCCAACTAGCACAACTCCACCAGTACAGATAGACCACAGATATTTTACATACTAGGCTGTCATCTGTCTTTTCTCAAAGGTGACATAACAATGCCACTAGGTGTCTGCACAAGAATTCTCACTGTTGCCACTAGTGGGAAAAGTATAACGAAGACAGGTCTGCAAAGGTTTTAGCATTTCTCCCTGATCAGTGTCATACAAGTCTTTTTTTAGGTCTTAACTACCCATGTTATTGTCTGGTTTGACTAACATAACTCATCAATTACCACCCCTATCCAAGGCAGCCAGGGAAGCATATTTAAATTGTTCTGATCCCCATATGGGCACAGCCTAATTAGTTCTAAATATTACATTTAATCAGAAATGTAATCAAATTACAGAAGAAGGCTGGCAGCGTACTTATGGTATGCCTTGGATTTCTTTATAGATGAAGGCAAGTTTCCTTACATATTCAGGGAGGTGGGGAAAAAAAACTCTTCAAGTGCTGTTCCTAAATATAAATTGGTATTTGCATCTCGATATATGTGCAATTAATTAGCATTCATTCCTTAATGAATTTCATCAAATGTCCTGATGCTCAAGAAGGGTATGTCTACACTTGCACCCTCTTTCAAGAGAGGGATGCAAATGTAGCTGAGCGAAATTGCAAATGCAGTGCAGATTTGAATTTCCTGCACTTCATTTTCATATTCGCGTTCTGGCGCTATTTCGAAAAAAGAAACGCTGTCCAGACACGGTTATTTCAAAAGAAAACCCTTCTTCTGAAATAACTGGTAAACCTCATTGTAGGAGGAATAAGGGTCATTTCAGAAGAAGGGTTTTATTTTGAAATAACCACGTCTAGAAAGCGTTTCTTTTTTTGAAATAGCACCATAATGCGAATATGCAAATGAAGCATGGGAAATTCAAATCTGTGCTTCATTTGAAATTTCGCTCAGCTGCATTTACATCCCTCTCTCGAAAGAAGGTGCAAGTGTAGACATACCTGAAGTGAATAAACCAGATCTAATTTCTCCATTAAGGAATCTACAGTTCGTCAGAGCATGAAACGTGATCTAGCTGTGTGAAACTTCATCTACAAAAGCAAACAAAGAATTCACTAAGCACTCAGTGTGGAGCAAATGCTGTGTGTCTCCTATATCACATTCAAAAAGGTAAGACCTAGAGCTGAGATGAGACCTTCCTGATTAACTAGAATTGTGTGAGGCAGAATTTACATTTAGTTGTTTGCACAAGCCTAGTTGTAGCTAGACATGAACCCCATCTTGGTTTCCGCTCCCCCTCCCCCCTCAGAGAGCAAGAGAAAGGCAGTCAGCCTTTGATGCCCTGGGAATGCAGGTGTGCTGCCTGTCCCTGACTCTACCATAAACAGAAACCAGACAGTAAATGGGCTAGCTGACGACCCAGGGCCTCCCATCGCCCTGATGGCTAGTACCAGTAGTTGACACGCCTGCACTGTCCCAGAAGAGGAATCTTCGCCCATCACATACCAGAGGTGCCCATTGTCTGCATTTTCCCAGGTGTGAATTATGCTTTGCACCCTCCGTGGGAAACTTGGCATTCAAAGCCATTTTTCCTAATTGGCCACTTGAGACCAGGAAGAAGCCTATGTGACCCAAGGGGTATAAAGAGGGGTTTAGTAGCCCACCCCATTTGAGCTCCAATCATCTACACCTGCTGGCAGGTATTGATTGTCTCCCGAGGTCTGTGGGACGCCCAACCTCGTCCTACTTCTTCCTAAGGGATTGAGAGAAAGACGCTGGCTACGCCAAGTCTGGAACGAAGGGATTAGAATATATACCTGCTAGGTGTCTATTTTGCATGCATTTAATAAGAGCTCAGAGAACCAAAAGGGTTTCATGGTACCTGTAAGTGACTTATTAGTGTAATTTCTGTCCTGTCCTTTGTAGTGACTGTATTATCTGTAACACAGTAGTAGCATTTAACAACTAAGTTTACCCTGTAACAATAAAATAGTAACTGTTTAAGCTTTAACCTGACTCCTTCGGTTGCTGTAACAGAACCAAGCACAATTTTAAAAGAACTTCAGCCGATCATAAGGGACAGATATAGGGAGAGCTGGGGCATTTTGGATCGTGTCGCTTCCAGGGGACAGATCCGTTGGGGCACCTCTCAGCCTCCCCAGGCTGCCCGCTGTGAAGGGATTTCTGTATCCTAGCAGCTAAAATCTGAGGTGTTATAAGCTCTCCCTGTAAACTTATTGGGGCGCCCATCAACCTCCTCCAGGTTGCCCGCTGCAAGGGACCCCGGTCTCAGCAGTTGAAGTCTCGGATGTATAGCACACACACACACCACTCACTGCCCTGACCGTCAGTTGGCAGAATTGGGGCACCCGTCAACCTTCTCCAGGTTGCCCGCTGCAAGGGACCCCGGTCTCAGCAATTGAAGTCTCGGGTGTATAACACACACACGCACACACTGCCCTGACCGTCGGCTGACACTAGTACATCAAGGAGTTTTAAGAAGCTGAATCAGGTAGGAATGGCTTTGGGATACAAGCTAGAACTATAAGGTGTTAAGGAATGGAAGGTCTTTATTTTCCAGGACCCAGGACTAAAATATCCAAAGCCTACTAGCTCCACTGTCATTTTTAAAATCATCTCATAATTTTAAAAGCTCTTCCTCTGCATAATTCTAAAGCAAATCTCTAAAATTTCCAACCTGCAGACCATCCCAGGACAGAGCATTTACGCAATCAGGACTGGGACTCCTGTTTGTAACCATCCCCCAAATCCCATTTATCGCCCCCTACAGCACCTTGACTCTGAGGGTGTAGCATTGGGGACCACCAGAGAGGCCTGATGCCACATGGCAGCGATCACACACTCCCCACACTCCCATTGGCCATAGGAGCTGGGGGAGGGGGAATGGAGCTGGGCAAGCTGGGAAGGGGCAGGGCTTGGGGCAGCAATGGACAGC